TGAAGGGGCGACGCTTTGCGACGCTGCAAATCCGTCGCTCAGCGGAGAAATTTCAAAAGTTAGTGGCGGTATTGTACGTTAGGCGTGGCGCGCATTGAAATGAGAGGTACTAACGACCAAGATCCAAATTGAATTCCAAAACAGCCTCGGAAATGGGAGAAAAGTGGGCAAATGTGTACATTGGTAAGCCACATGGAATTAGGGAGACCCACCTTTGGTGGGGGGGGGGCGTTCACTGAAAAAACGGTACTCTATGGAAGGATTCATAATTGGTTTAAGAGAAACCCATACAGCAGAGAAAAAACGGTTTGAGGAGGCAGTGCCCAAGTTGCTTCCAGCATATATGACGTGAGCGAAATGAGCGAAGTGTGTCCTGGAGTAGACAGCATTTCTATAATTCCTTATAAATTAGTTCCAAGAAGCCTTGGTGAGCCGAAAAAGGTAGATAGAGGTCAGAGAAGGGGGAGATCAAGTGATAATGGTGGGCGCGGCGGGCACAAAGTGGGCGAAGTTTGCTACCAAACTTATAACTCAATTCCAAGAAGTCTTGGAGAAGGGAGGGGGGGGAAGTGGATCGAGGTCGGCGAAGGAGTGAGGTCAATTGCTATTGGTGGGCCTGGCGCGCACAAATGTGAGCAGAGTTTGAAACGAAACTTCACAGTTTGGTTCCAAGAAACTCCTTCCCGGACCGGCAAAAAGTGGGTGGAATCCAGCTGTGTAAGGGGGTAAATAGCTGCTGGTATGTGGGGCGTGCACCGGAATGAGCGTAGTTATCCACAAAACATTACAATTGGCTTGCGAGATCGTGAGAACCGGAAAGAAATTGGAAAGGGTCTGACAACAGAAGAGAGGGTAGTTACAATGGGTGGGTGGAAAAGGAGGGGACAACTTCGCCTTGAAGTTCTGTAAAAATGTCGACAACACTGCGTTTTATAATACCACTGCAGTCTCGTGTGATGCACGCGAATGCGAGCGCAGCCAAACTTGCCTTTGGACGGAGAGGAAGTGCAGTATTACGGATACCTCTGAGTGGGGGTCTACTGATGCGAGCGATTTCTCGGCACGATTTTCACCCATATTCCACTTTTATTTCTCTCTATTCGCTAATAACGAAGAGGAACTGCGCGCTTTTCGATCCATAATGTACTATCGTTTTACAATGAATGAAAATGGAGGCTCAGCAGAGAAAAGAGAACGAAGAGGAGCTCTCCTGAGTAAGAAGATTATGGTGAAGGGAGTTGTTTCGCTCAGCTAACCCTGAACTGCCCACAGTTCTCTTTATTTCAATCTGGCAGAAATTTTCAACTATGTTTCGAGGACAAATGGTTGCGCCATCTTCAAACCGTGAGGTCTAAAACGTTGTGTTTGGGTACAGCCGATAAACTTCCACCACAAATCCTCCCTTCTAATCACACTAAAACCGACCGGATTCATGGCTCCAGCCATGGAGATGTTCTGCGATAACACTCCAGCAGAGATGACGCACGAACTTATGGGGAGTTTGTCACCTTCGTGCTCAGTCGCTCATTGTCACAGCACAGATGTGAGCAAGCCCTTGACTTTAGCGTTTCGACAAACTTTTCCTCTGTTTTTTTACTGCTAGCTCACTTCACACCAATGCTTTGATATACTACATACGCATGTACGATGTCCTTGAGCATACTTTTGGACCCGACGACATGACGGGAGTGAATAAAACTGAGCGAGATGAAGACCTAT